AAGGTAAAAAACAGTACAGTACAGAGCCCTCAGTACAGAGTCCTGGGGGACACCACTAGGGACCAGCTGCCTGCTGCAAGGAATTCCATTCACCAGCACTCTCTGGGCCAGGCCAGCAGCCAGTTTTTAACTCAAGAACAGAGCGTCAAAGCCACAAGCAGCTGGTGTCTCCAGGAGACTTCTGTGGGACACAGTGTTAAAGACTTTATTCCAAAGTGCAGGAAGTCAACGTTTCTGGACTTTCCCTCGTCCACTAAGAGGGGCACTGTGTTACAGAAGGAGATTGGGTCGGGCGGTTACGCCTTTGACAAACCCATGCTGGCTGGGCATGACCCCTGGATCTCCTGGAGGTGCCATGTGATGGCACATGTGCTTCCCCAAGCACCAAGGTCAGGTTGACAGGCCTGCAGTTTCCTGGTTTCTCATTCGAACCCTTACACACAAACCAGGAACCTCCTAAGTTGCTTCCTCTCTACTGTGTAGTGTTTCCAGCACATGTCTGGAATGTCATCCTCCTTGCTTCTGCAGCATCTCTTCTTGAGTCCAAGTATGCACGCAGGGTGGGCACCTTCAGCAGTCCTTCTTGGCATCCTTGTCCTCCCTTAACATTAGCCAAGACTCCCACCCCTGATCCCCATAGGGTCTCCCTACCTTGAGCTTGCCTTGTGGCTGTGACTGTGGGAAAGATGGGGAAGTGGATCCAGCAGAGCCAGTACATGTGGAAAGCTATGTTTCTTCAAGCTGCATGATGGGGAACAGGCTGAAGGACTTCTGGGAGGTAAGTAGTGTTTCTTACACAGTCCTCCCCCTCTTCTTAAGCTTTATAACATATTGAAAAACTGGCTGCACAACAATATCCCCAAGAGAACTTTGAAATCCTGTTCTCTGCAGCAGGGGATCAAGTCTGTTCTAGCCCCAGAAAATCAAGGTGATCTCCTGGAAGCCCCCAGGTCAGATTTATGAAAGGTGCAAGAAGAACATTTCAATATCTTACATCAATTAGCATCAACATTCACTGACAGCTAGGACAAACCAGCCATAAAACTGCAGGACATTAAGAAAAGAGAAGGGTTGCTACTGATGTGGTCTAATTCTTGGAAGCCCTAAGAAGTGACATGAATGCTTTCTCTCCCCAGAAGTTGGGTAAAACTCATTCATGTTTTTAGAGATGTCTTTCTAGAGCTGTATGTTTTGATTGCTTTCTGTTACTTTAGTATATTTGCTTGAGAGGCATTGTTTCAACAGTGTTTCAAGTGAATTGCTATATATTGGGGTTCTTAGCTTTGGATCCATTTCTAATTAGGTCCTGGCCCCAAAAATCAGATTCTCATATTTTTCTCTGTACTCAATAGGCTGTGCTTTCTTGTGTGACTATTTTGAGATATTACAGAGAACAAAGAAAAGGAATAGACCTCACACACCATATTAAGCAGTTGGGATATTTTGTTTTATGAACTGATGAGATTAACCAGATAACTGGAATGAAAACAGCTGCTTGCCAGGGCTATGGTTAAGCCAAGTCTGACATCGTGTATTTTATGGGGCTGGAGAGCACAACCCTAAGAACTACCAGCTGAGCAATAAGAACACACAGTTTGATAAGCTGTTTTTAATATATAGTATCTTGTTTCTCTGACTGTTGTCAGAAGATTACTGTTCTGATGTCATATGGTCATGTGATTTACATAATATGACAGATCAATCAATCCTTTCCATCAGATGGAGAAATGAGTGTTAATTAAGTTTTCTATTTACAGGCCTTTTCCTATAGACCCCAGACCTGCTCTGGTACTGCATTTTTACACAGATATTTTGCACCAGCATGGTTGAGAGAATCCTGAAATAAATTCAGAGAGTAGCCATCTGGAGAAACATGTACATGTTGACCTTTTTCAACAGAAGCATTCAGAGCATAAAACCTATTCAGATGTGATTTTTGTCTTGTCTTAGCTATATTTGCTATATTGGGCTGTGCCTGAATTGTAGCAGGATTTATCTGGATACTATAGTGGAAGTTTTAAAACCTTAGTTTTTGTCACCATAGTGGATCTGGTTCTCCTGCTTGGAGAAGAGCACCCATTGAAGCCAGGAGACCCATTTACATACGTGTTTTTACTGCTGCAATGAATTAATTGAAATTGGGGGATTTGAAATGTAGTCAAAGTGTTATGTAAATTTTTGTATTTTGCTGAGGCTTTATTAGCAGATCTGTCATATTTTATTTCTTCATAGTTTTAGCCATAGTCACTTTGCTTACAGGTGCAGCTTGAAACTGGAAGTGATAAAAGCACAGCATGAAATTATAAATATTGAGGACTGAGGAGAAGGTGTGTTTGTTAAAAGCATTTGAAGAACTTCAGATATGTTCATGGGGTTTACTAATCACCTTAAACTTACCACTAGGTCCTCAGCCATCAGCAGACACTTGTCATAGGATGGTAAATTCTTCTCAAAATGGTCTCTGCAGTGTCATGACAGTTATCTGCTTTAAGACCTGTGGACCTGACCAGACTGCTTGATGAAGCAAGTAAGGTGACCTGCCCTATTACAAGCTGCAAAGCCATTGGTGTCTGGGATTCATCCGGAGCAGTCAATCAACATTAATGGATGTGCTTTAAAAGTAAATTACCAAGCACAAGGTTGTGGGCAGATTAGGGGCTCCTACATAGCGTGTACACCCCAGTAGGGGACGCAGACTGTAATAACCCAAATAAAGTGTCTGTGAATAAGGCTTCAACAGGCAGAAAGGCTGTTCTGGTCCTAGGGGAGGGAGGTCATGTGAAAAGGATGAGACCACCACCTTCCCTTGCTCAGCCAGCAGCTGATGACTAGAGGCCAGCATCGCAGTTGGATTTACAGTTGGTATGTTGCTCTTGCTGGATAGATACATCTCTCTTCTCTTGAGATACTAAAAAATTCATGCTCCAAGTGAAGCAGGGATCTTTGAACTGCACGTTCATCTTCCTTTTCTTTAACTACTGGTTACTAGAGTATTCTGTCTTTATTTAATGAAACTTTTCCACAAGGAGAGTGGTGCAGCCCTTGGACAAGTCAACATGCACAGATTGTGGAACCTCCATCATGGAACACTCTCCTGAGTTTTGAGGTCAGATTCTTTTGGAGTCCTAAATGTGACTAATTTAAATTTGAAGTCACTGGAGTCAATCTGTTTTTTTCTCTAAAATTGTTACAAATAGACCAACAGGTAACTCCTTTAGTCATGCTTGTTGCTTGTGTTATTAAAACTGGCAGGTTTCCATTTTGTTTAATTTTATGTACTTGACACTTCAACAAGAGCAGAGGTTCACTGTTCTGCAGCCAATCCTGTCCCCAGGAGCAGGGTCTAGAAATGTCTATAGTTCTTTGAGCTTCTTTTTGTTCTGAGGATTAAGCCTTTATTCTTCCACCCTTGTATTTGCAGCTTGACTGAAGAGTCTAAGTTAAGAAAGACTTTACTTCCACAACCAAGACAGGTATATAGGAGAAGTTTTCTAGCAACTCGAACTCACTGGGGTTACTTCTTTCATTGGTGGCTCAAAAGGAAGCAGGCTTAGGAGCCCCAGCCATGCACTGAAGTTTGGGGAGGGATGAAGCCAGACCAGCAGATTTGTGAGTCTGGCTTTGCATGTGCTTGTACACATAGTTTTTTGTTAAGTGAAACATAAATCTACTTGAGTATGTGCAGCATTTGAGCCTATACTTACACCTACTTGGAGCTGAAATCCCTCAAAAGAAGATAGTCATTGTGCTAATATTATACATGCTTTAGTGGAACAGGTAAGTTTAGTCTGATTTCACTTAAAGCAAAACCCTCCTCTTGTAAGCCGTATATATGAAAAAGCTGATTGTTCTGATTTATGTGGAGTGGCTGCTAATCTCAAAAGGTAATATGATGTCTCAGTTTGGGAACAATGCTGTAATAATTTTGTGATGACTAACTGCTCATTGTGAAATTTTCCCAAGCTACCTTTGTTAAGACTAGTAGAGTCCCAAGAAATACACAGGTGTTTTCTCAAGACTTTAGAATGAGATATCTGAACTATTTGTGTCACCTTGGAGTTAAGCAAGAAACTTGGTGGCAAATATTTCTGTATCAATTTTCAGTTGTTCTTAGAGTTTGAGACATGTTCTGCATTTTCCCATTACACTTTGATTATAATTTGCAGAAGAACTCCTGTATATTACCTGAGGATTTAAAGAACTTCTATCTGATGACTGATGGCTTCCAGATGACCTGGAGTGTGAAGACTGATGGTGAGTCCCTGTGTTCCCCTCCAGCGACAAGCTCAATTCATTGCATTTAGTCCTTCCTTTACAGAATCTCTTTAATTGCAAACTTACTTTCTGCCCAATCAATACACATCTCTCAGGGCAAAATCTATTGCTTGCATGTTCCGTTATCCTACAGAAGAGGTGCAAACACTCTTTCTTTCTGGCAAGAAACTAATTATTCATTACATAAATTTTATTCTGTAATGCACTGGCCATCTGTTGACACTAAGATTTAGGTGTGTCATTTAAACCTCATACCTAACTCCCTCTGTAGTTCATAAAGAGAGAGAAACAGCTGTAGCTCATTATCCCATTATAAATCAGTAGGAACAGTCACCCTCTGATAATACTTCTTTTTCATTCAAATGTATATGTACATGTTGGACCCTGATTCTGCTTTCCACCAGCTAAAGTCCAAGCTTCATTTTCCATCCTTGTTCAGGAAAAATCAAGTAGTTTGTTCACTCTGCAGCTGTTATCCTGGCTCTCTTTGCTTTCCGGCAGGATTCTCCAATTGCGCTGCAGACACTGCTCACTTCTGGAGATGGGTGTCAAATGTAGGGTCTTCCTCAGGAAGTGAAATAACATTTCAGAAACAGTTCACATCAGTGCTTTAGCACCTGCACAACTCCCATCATGTTTCAAGTGGGACTTATGACCTCTGAGGAGTCTTGTTTTCAGGGCTCACAAGTGCATGGAGACCAAGGCTGCTGGTACAGCTGTCTTATTTGCGCAAACATCCAGCAGTGTCTTCTGAGACCCATCACACTGGCACATGGCTGAACAGGGTGCTTGCTGCCTTGATGTCTGGTAACAGTCTGAGTCCTCAGAAGCTCAAGTCCTGTAGGATTCTTTCAGGAGCACCCACATGTTGATGTTGATAAAATCCTCTGTGGAAGTGGAAACCAAGAGGATGTACCCTGAACAGGTACATGGAGCAGAAGAGGACAAACTGCCCAGTAAGCTGTGAATGTATGGGGTGGTTTCAGATAGGAAGGGCAGTAGCAGGGAAAAGAACTCTGAGGAAAAGGCTGTAGTGAAAATCCTGTAGCCAGGATTTTTAATTTTTCACAGGACTGAGCTAACAGCTGCAGCACAGTCCTTGCCAGCAGTGTAATTCCCTTACCTTTATAGCTCTGAGATGGTGTTGCATCACATGTAAGTGGGAGTCGGTGTTTGAAAAAGCCTCATTTTTGCTCTTGTAGAGCCTTACTTAAGTTAAATGTCCAAATCTGCTGGGTATAACCATTCTTCACCCCACAGAGGTTGATGTCTGGAGGCAAATAAATGCCTCCCATGCTTTCCTGACACTGGATGTGATTAATGATTGGTTTTGTTGCAGATACTCCAATGCCCCTGGGCTCCATGGTGATTAACAGTGTCTCAAAGCTGTGTCGCCTTGGGGGTTCCTCTATGTACACTCTACCTAGTGCTCCAACTCTCGCTGACCTGGAAGATGACACAGATGAGGAAGGTAAGGCACTGTTAACAGGCTAGAAAACCTGCTCTGTTCCATCCCTTTTGTTCTAATTATATTAGAATATAGCACAAAATATGTATACCAAAACACTTTCCACCAGGTTGCTCAGAGCTCCATCCAACATAGCCTTAAACATTTCCAGGGCTGGGAGTATCCACAATTTCTCCAGGCATCCTGTGCCATTGCCACATCACCCTCACATAAGGAATTTTTTCCTAATATCTAATGTAAATCTGCCTTCTATCAGTGTGAACCCACTCCCCTTTATCCTGTCCCTACATATCCTTGTAAAAAGTCTCTCTCCATCGTTCTTGTTGGCTTCTTTACAGATACTGGAAGGCCACAATTAGGTCACCCTGAAGCCTTCTCTTTTCCAGGCTGAACAAACCCAATCCTCTTAGCACCTTAGCTATCCCTCACAGCAGGGAAATAGGAACAAGATGATCTTTAAAGTCCCTTCCATACAGCAACAGAAAAGATTGCTCCAGGTAGATGGGGATTACTTGGTCTAGCAACCTGGTCTGGAGAAGGGTGTCCCTGTCCATGTCAGGGCAGTTGGAGCAAGATGATCTTTAAGGTCCATTTCCAGCCCAAACCATTCTATGATTCAGTGACTCTCTGTCTCCTAGGCTAGATCTATTATATTTCTTACTAGTTCCCTATAGCCTTGGCTGTATGGTAGGTCTGTATGCTGTGAATGTAGTGCGGATTAGTGTTATTTGCATCGTCTTTTAACAGACTATTCTGCCTTTTCCCTGTTTAAACTTTCACCTGAGCCTTACCCTAGTGATTCAGTTTCCAAAATATTTGTGTGCTTAAGGTGTTAAATGAACAAAAGAGAACAGGTTTTGCTTTGGTAGTGAAGACAGCTGGAATTAGTATGTACATATAACTATGAGGCTACCCTGCCTAAAAATGTTGGGAATGCTGCTATTTGGAGAGAATAAAAAAGAACAAGAAAGCCCATTCATTTTGTCAGAGCTCTCACATCCAGCTGGCAAAATCAAGAGGATAAGAACATAGCCAGGTGTCACACCAATTTCTTAAAAGAATACTATTTAGTTTCAATCTTGTCTCTGAATCTCCATAAGATCTTCTAGCTTCTAAGTGTGGGTGAAAGTAGTTTTGACATTCCAGTTTGGCTGCAGCCCTGATCTTCTAGAAATGCTCAGTGATGGTTGAGGGTCTTGAGTAAGAGTCAGATGTGGCCGTTGAGAAGGATGCTAATGTCACTGGAATGTATGGATAAATATATATCTCTGCAATTTCACTGAAGTCTTGTTGCAAGAGAAAAAGAATAAATTGTTCTCCCTGTCCTTAGAAAAAAATTAATCATGACAGAAAAAGGAATCATATATACAACAGAAATAATGGGCTTCAGTTGTAGCAGGGAAGATCAATAAGGAAAACTTCTAAGTGATAAGTGATGGATTTGGGTTGAGTACCTAGAGATTGTGCCTGTGCCTTCTCTAACACTGGAGAACTTTAAGAAAAGATTAGACAAACCTCAGGGGTGACATCTGTAAACCTTGACTTGCTTAATGCCAGTGAGGAAATAGAATTCAGCTTATCTATTTTCAGGCATCTGATTTTGACTCTGTGGTTTGTTTTCCTAACAGATGAAATTTCTTCTCATTTTTTGGTTTTTTTTTTTTGCTTGTTTTTATTTTAAACTTAGGGAATTTAATCAGTTCTTCAGCTCTTCATCAACTGATTTATTAATGTATAAAACAGACAGACTCTTTGCAACTGAATCACAGTTTTTCAAACATGTTTCATAATCTTTTTCCTTGGTTTCAGGTAATGGAGACAAACCAGAGAAGCCACACTTTGATTCTCGTAGTCTTATCTTTGAATTAGACCCATGCAATGGGAATGGGAAAGTCTGTCTTGTTTATAAGCATGCTGAACCAGGTAAGACTGAAAAAAGAAAAGTTAGCCATTTCTTGTTGTGGATTCTATCTGGAGGCCACATGTGGAAAGTTATCTTGTATTTTTGATCTTCTTTGCAATTTTTAAGGGAAACTTTTACTGAGATGTCCTGTCTCCACTGAAGTCAGGAGCTAAATCTTAACTAGATCTAACATTTTCATTCCTTTTAGTGTTGGAGTCTGAGTTATAACTTACGATTTCTGTGTGCATAGAAGCAGGGAAGTATTCACCTGAGACCTACAGACAATTGAATTAAAATAATAGAGAGCTCCACTAATCTGGTTACTTGCATGTCTTGGAACAAAGCTGTTACATTTTGATGAGAAAGGGTATAACTCTGCTTAGAAACAAAATGTAGATAGTAAAAAAAGCTGAGACAGCCACCTTGTGTACAGATGCAGGGTCTCCAGGTCCTAACTAGGCCAAAATGTGGCAGGAAGGGTTAATGGGAGGGTGAGAAATGGGAGCTGAGATGTTCTTTTTGACAGAGACAACTCTTATCAGTGAGAGAATAGTGAAACACCCAAGGCACTTCTAAAATAGTTGTCATCTGACACAGTGCACAGATGTATGTGTGTTTACTGTGTAGGGTTGTGCAATTGCAATATACAGCTTCTTAAGAAAAATCTTAGGTTATTATCTAGTGCCTTTCACTGTGTGTGACAACAACTGCCATGGCAGGAAGTCCTTGGCCTCTTGCCTCCTCATGTTAGTGATTTCAGCACATGCAGTGGATAACCTGGGCAAGGGAAGGGAGCATTGGTTACAGGTGTTAATGTCAACAGTGTCTGTTTAAATGATAGTGTTCAGCATCTCAATCTCCCAAAAAAAAAAACAACTTCTTTTTATATTACAAAGAATGTCACCACCAGAGAAATATTTGATCACTGTGGAAAGATTTTGCAGAACGTGTTTTTGTTGGCAGAACATACTACCATGATTTTCAGGCTCTGGACTATTCAGTAATCTAGATCACTGACAATTGAGTTAGTTGCTTCTTACTTTGTGGGGCAGATAAATGTTTGCCATTATTGGACTTTGAACATATACTACAAAGTTGTTAATGTCCAAGAATGTTCCATGTAGCATGTCACTCCCAGATTGTGAAAGAACAGCATAACATTCATTGTCCAGCACACAGCTAGTCAAATACACCATTCAGTGGGTGAACACTGGATGATGGGTAGGACACAAAAGTTTATAGTAAATAGGGCTAAATAGTAAATAGTTATCGCATCAGGCTGACAGCTGGTCACTGGTGGAGTTCTGCAGGGCTCCATCTTAGGCCCAGTGCTTTTCAGTGTCTTCATGAACAGCTTGGACACAGGACTGGAAGAGGTACTAAGTTTGTCCATTATACTAAAGTGGGAGGAGTTGATGTATCCCTTGAAAGCCCTGCAAAGTGACCTCAACAAATTAGAAGAGATGTGCAATCACCAACCATATGCAGTTTAACAAAGACAAGTTCTGGATTCTGCACCTGGGCTGGAACAAGCCTGGAAATACATAAAACAGCCCTATCTGATGAGTGTGTTGTGTCCTCCCACCTTACAATGGCCAGGGGTTAATCTTAATATTTCAAAGCAGCAGTGTAATTTGTGCTTGTTTTATTCTAGTGGTCTCCCAGGACACAGAGATCTGGTTCCTGGACAGAGCTCTGTATTGGCATTTCCTCACCAAAACCTTCACAGCCTACTACCGCCTGCTCATCACCCACCTGGGTCTTCCACAGTGGCAGTATGCCTTCACCAGCTATGGAGTCAGCCCCCAGGCCAAGGTAGGACAGCAGAGTCCAGCCTGTCAGTATTTTGCATAAGTATAGACTGGGAAAACATCTTCCTACCTTTTGGCAAGCTGTCTGTCTTTTCAGGGGGGCCTCCCAGGTGAACCATGGAAGGGACCACAAGTTTTTTCCATGTAACATGTTAGCAGTCATTTGTTTCACAGTAATTTGAATTTAATAATATTGTGTTAGCCCTGCTTATCTCTCAGCAGTTGCGCCTTCATCAAAATTATGCCCAAAAATGGGCAATTTAAAGTCCTAGAGGTAGTTAAAGAAAACATCTGCATAAAGCTTGGTGAGGATTCTAGTTGCTTATTATTGTCATTAAAATTACTATTCTGCCATGCCAAAATTCTGCTATTAGAGGCTTCTGCTGTTCTTCTGTGTTTGACTGGGCCTTCAGCCCTATCCCTGTCTCCATCCTGTGAGAGATGAGGGAATGGAGCTGATGATCCTACTGAACTTACAGCTCATAAGCCAGCACAGTGTCAGTGCACCTTGGCAAGGTCTGTTGAGACTTGAGTGTCCTGCACTTCACTCAGACACAAGAGCTGTCTTATCAGCGTGAGATTCCCTGGTCCTGTGTGCACATCAGAATTGCTAAAATCACTCCTGACTTCCCATCAAATAGTGGCTGTAGAATTTGGTTCTTCTCATTCCTGATGCCTTCCCTGTTACACTGCACTGGACTTTATCAGTCAAAGCTGTGTACGTGGCACTGTGCTCTGCTTTTCTGTAACTTTGGTGCTATAAATATTTTATTATATTCAGTATATTTTCAAACTGTAAGATGAATCATTCATATATTCCCTAATCATTTGTAACCCCTGTTGGTTAAAATCCTTCTAGTTTGTTAACCATTATCATTTTTAAAAGTTTTCAAGGGGATATATTAAAGCTGTTTTCCACTAAGCAGTTCATTAATAGATGATTATCTATATTTTGGTATTGAACTTCTCTGTGTCCTGCTCAACACTTTGCTGATTGTTTCACTGTGATTTGAAATACCATAACTACAATATGTTGACTTTGTTAATAGAAAAATAGGCTGACTTTTTTGATAGAAAATAGAAAATCAGAAATAGAAACAATAAGACAAACAAAATTCTTTATGTAAGATGTTAAAAAAAGTCATTATTTTATGTGTAAAGAGAGGGAAGGTTACATTTTGAGAAATTCAACCAGTTGGTTTTCAGTTTTTAAGCACATTTAAATTCCAAAGGTTTTCTTAATCCTTTCTGTTTATCTGAATCAAAATAAATGCAACTTAGTTTCATCCCCTCCTTTTGCTTCTCCTCCTCTGGTGTAAATCAGGATTCACTCTTGGTAGGAGTCACACTGCAGGAAAGGTTGTGTTAGGATTGTGTCTGGTTCTCCCGTATCTGGAATGCAGTTCCAGGACTGGGGTTGTAGCCATACCCAGTGTAGCCTTATCACAAGCATTCTTCCAAGTCCTGTAAACTGCAGCTGATAAGTGGCATAGGATTAAGATCAAATCTTGGGGAAGATGGGCAGCAAGGAGGAATTGTCTAACTGCAGTTTGAATTTAACCTGTTCCTTCCCCACTATCCTGCCTTTCAGCAATGGTTTAACATGTATAAACCCATAACCATCAACACAGCACACCTGTCTGAAGAAGCTGATTCCTTTGTGAACAAGCTGGACCCCAATAAGGTATTTAAAAGCAAGAACAAAACTCCAGTGCTCAAGAAGAAACAAGCTTCACAGCCACCAGGCTCCCAAAAGAGTCACACAAGCATGACCTGTGCCAAGACATCCTCACTAGCTGGGAATTCTTCAAGGAAGTGAGCCCGCCAGACAACATTTGCAATAAATTTTGATGTTTTTTGCTGCAGAGTCTTTGTGGTTCAGAGCAAGTTCCTTGTGCATGAATAGATGTGCCCATGGAAAACACATTGCAGCACTTGCATGAAATGTAGCCACGATGTGGATGTAGTTCCTGGAGGCTCTTTAAAAAAATTGATACATCAATTTTATTCCCTTCTGCTACTTACAGTATATACTTTTCAGAGGACATAAAGAAACCTTTGATGTCACTGCTCCATAGGGAAGCTTTTGTTCCTGTACCACTGCAGCAGTGAAATGAAAGTAAATGTAATTTACTGTAACTTTAATAGGACAATGCTGAAGTAGAGGGTGTGAAGATGTTTCTGCCATGTCTTTTGAAAGAAAACTGTCCTGACCTTGCATGCTGTGGGAGCAGGCTGGAACCCACTGAACACAGAAGTATCTTTCACTCCAGATAGAATCAAACTCTACACTTCCCTGTGCTTCATCCAACTTCTGCTCTGAGATTCATGGTACAATAGGATTTGTGACTTCAATGTCTCTTCATTAGCCTAGCCACTAGCTCTGCAGCCTGGACCACTTTTTGGCCTTTGTGCTGTATCTTTTCAGATGGTGACATGATTTGCAATAATCCTGAAGCCAGAAGCTGCAAGATCCTTTGTTGCTTTCCTCTGTGGGAACTGCTGAGCAGAGAGTCAGTGGTTGAGTCCCATCAGCCAGGAGGACCCTTTGGTTTGTCACACATTCATTTGCAAAGCTGACCATTGAAATAGGTACTTTTCAGTTGGGCAGGATCTCACCAGGGGCCACTGAGATCCTACAGCCTTAGAAGGCCCTGATGCTCTTTTCTATACTGTAAGTTTTCAGGTTAGAACTGCACTTTAACCCATTCACTGCTGTTTTTCAGTTACTCCTGTTTATTTCCGTTACTTTTCTATGCTATTCTGTGTGGGACTCAGATTCAGTCAAAGAAGAAACTGAGAGTTTCTAGCCAGGCAGATGCCTGGGAAAGAGCTGGGAAAGAATGTAAATAATTCTTTATCTCTTGTTTTTCACATTGTTTATAGTTAAGTTCTATCACTGTGCGTCAAGCACTCTGCACCAATGGTGGTGGGTTGTTTTCACTTCAGAACCAATGGATTTGGTCCTCACGAAGCTCTGTATAAAAGAGCGGTTCATTTTGAATAAATCGGAGTTTTACTATTACAGCCTTCTGAGTCAGAGTCTCTTCATTCCCATCCTACCTCAACAGCAACAATTCTTTCTTCCAAATACACTGGAATCATGGTAGCGCCCAACACATTTTGTGCCTGAATATGGAAATCAAAATCACTGTCTTCAAGTAAGCATTGATTATTTAAACAGCATCATCTCTAATTTTTGAAAAACCACCCCATAATTACACAAGACAAACCTACCTCACAGGGATATTGTGAGGCTTTCTTCAGAAAGATGAAGCCATTCTGTAAGTGCTTAATAGTATTTTAATAAATATTTTAATATTTTCCTCCAAAGTGATTGGGTATTTGAAGATGGTTTGGAGAGCACATGGACATGGGATGCAAAGGATGTATGGCAAGAGCAGTGTTCAGGATGGATTGTTTGGGGTGCTTTTTAATGCAGTAGAGAATCTCTCTATGAGAAGGCATACGTTACAGTGCTTTTAGCTTATCCCTCTTTTTAACTACTCAGAAATTCCCAGTTTATTTCACACAGGCCGGAAGACTGAGCTTTGTGGCAGCTGTTCTACTTCTGGCCTGCAGTCACTGTACAAAATCTCTGCAGGCATCAGCCACTGCTCATGTGTATTTTGCTGCTTCCAGCACTGCCAAGGGCCCACCTTCAAAGGCTGCATTGCCTAGCAGCCACTCTCTGCCACCCCCAGATGACAAGAAATTCTCTAATGCACCTTCTCAAGCCCATGGGTATTTTGAGACAGGTGAAGATCTGTTCTAGCTGCTCTACTGACATAAAGTGAGCTCTAAAGAGAAAGCACACATCAGTACTTCCTACCCAACCCCATTCCGTGCTATAGCAATACCTCAGTTATGCTTTTAATATTGGGATGGAATGACTATTAAAGCCAGTAAATGCCCTCTTCTGGAATTCTGTGCAGTAGTGATGTTTTGTCACTTTCTGCTGTTGGAGAACTCTGTGTTTTTTGTCCATGGCACCAGCCCTGGGACTGCAGTTATGTGCTTGACATACATACCACACTTGCTTAAGCACTTCTTAGAAAAGTTATGACTGTTGTCACCCTCCTGGGAACAGGAAGCCTCTGATAGTGTTTTGCCTCTAATCCAGTGACACTTTCAACTTGCAAGACTGTTGCACGCCCATTTCCTCATTCAGATGGAGATAGCAGAATTCCTGCAGCAGCGAGGCAACGTCTTACATTTCTCATGTATTCAGAGTAGGAAAAAAGTTTGTGGGGTGCAGTTTGTTCAAATTTTTGGAGATGCAGTCACAGAAGTTCTCTGACTTCTTTTCTGTGGTGGTAGTTGGTGTAGCTCAAGTCTAGAGTGTCAGTACATATATAGTTCTTTGCTGCCTGTGTGTTCCAGAAGAACTGTGGTAGGATTCAGGAGACCCTGTTGTTTAGTTTAGTAATTTTTAATGCTTCCTGAATGTTCAGATTAAAAAACAAACAAACAAAAAAACCAAAAACAAAAACAAACAAACAAAAAAAAAAGAAAAAAAACAAACAAAAAAGAAACCCAAATAACCCAATGGGTTTATGTTTCTATTTTAGACTATCGTTCTTCTCTCTTCTGTGCTGTTCCAAACTAGGTATGCAGATATGCAAATGAAGCAAGCCTAGGTCCCTGGTCCATCACTATAGCATCTGTCTCTTACCAAATAATATTCAGATCAAAATTTATGTGTTAATTGACTTAATCATGTTGTATCTGCCACTGTTGATGCCTGTAGTTTGATTTATATGAATATATACATATCTGGAGACTTGTAGCTCTGCTTTGCTTTTCTTCAGAATATAATAATTATTTGAAGATTGAGTTTTGTTTTGAGATTGTTTTTTTGGGTTTTTTTTTTGGTTTTTAGGTAGGGTTTTTTTGTAAATTTTTACACAGGGAGATTGAATAATTCCTTCAGGTCACAGCCAGGTCTAGCCCTACATAGGTCTTCTCAATATCTCAGATACCAAGTTTGTGTGTTTAAGCAGA